ACATACATACATACATACATACATACATACATACATACATACATACATACATACATACATACATACATACATACATACATACATACATACATACATACATACATACATACATACATACATACATACATACATACATACATACATACATACATACATACATACATACATACATACATACATACATACACACACACACACACACACATGAATTCCTAGATTTGAAATCTAGATTTTATTTTTTATTTTTTCAAATCTTTGATTGAAACCTAGATTTAATATTTTTTTTCTTAGATTTGACATATAGATTTTGATTGTTTTTATGGCATGACCTTAGATTTAATTTTTTTCGTTTGGATAATCTGTATTAATGGAGTTAAAGAAGAAGAATATATAGGGGTGAGGGGAGTGGGTCTGTAGGACTCTAACCAAGAAGGAGGAGGGAGGGGATGTGAAGAAGAAAAACTGAAAGAAGAACAGAATAACTGAAGAAAATGAAAGCAAAAGACAAAAGAAAAAGTAGAAGAAGAGGGCGTGGGGGTAGGGATAGGGGTGGGGTGGGGTGGATGAAGAAAAAAGAATTAAAGGGGAGCTGGATTGCGGGAACCGAGAATGGGTGAATAACCTAAAGAGTGGAGGGCAAAAGAGGAAAGTTTCCTTATTTTTTTACTTTACATTAAAATTCGTGCCAAGTTAAAACGAGAAATTTCAACTTGACTTGGCTTAAGACCAGCCCTAACCCTAGTCCTACCCACCAAGACAACCCCAAGACCAAACCTAGGATTTAATCAAAGCGGGAGCATTAAGAACTATACAACTAAACCCAACATATCACTATAACCCAACCAGCTAGACTATATAATGACACAATGTTAAAAGCCAGAAAGTAGAAACCAAGGATCAATTGATTTGAACTAACTGTTTGGCACTATTTCTGTCTCCCTTAGCAAACTGTGCCCTCGGAAGAACAGACTGCCATTGATAATGAGGTCTACATAGTTCATTTGATCCAAACAAACACATGTAGTCTCAATTATCATTAAAAACCTACTCATCTAACATACAACTTTCAAGTTTAAACAGATTAAAACAAATGCTAGCTTCAACACACACTTTAACACAGAGAATTACACCCAAAACCTAGGCATAAGCCTCTACTCACTCATCACAGATTTGCAAGCAAAACACAATGGTTTGAGCATGCTATTTTCATTTTCAGCATAGAGCCAGTGGTGAATCTGTTGGTGTAAACCGCCATTTAGCATTTGTTCACTTGATTAGTTACATAGTTAGTTAGTTAGTTAGGAAGATATCTTTGGTTGTTACTTGTTTTTCATTTTCTATATATAGGAGTTAATCATGTAATACAAAATTTGAGCTAGTTAATACACTTTATTCCAACATGGTATCAGAGTTGGTTGTTATAGCTCCAAGCAATCACTCCTTATCTTCAATTTTCTCTCTCCCACCATTTTACCCTTCCCAATTCTTCTCTCCATCTTCAATTTCGACCCTAGAGATTTCCAGCGATGAAGAAGCTGAATCGTCAATTACCTCACGTCAATGACTCCTCCTCCAATGGCGTCTTCTACATCTGGATTTATCGCCGCCGTTCTGCTCATCGTCATCCTGAACCAATCCGACGCCGTCTCTGCCGTCCAGAGGCGAGAGATGGACTCGATGTTGACAGCTCTGAGAAGCAACGGCTACGGTCTCTTCAACAACGCCATTGTCACCTCCGACCTCTCGTACGATCTCGTCGACGGCGGAGAAGCTGCTTTCACGGTCTTCGCCCCGACCGATTCATCTCTCTTTGCGCTGGACATGGTGAATTCGGTGTTCGATTACACCGCCACTCTCCGCTGCCACGTCGTCCCCCAGCGCCTCTCTGTCCGCGGCCTCAACAGGCTCCGTCCTGGTTCATCTCTCCGCACTCTCGCCGTCGACCATGATGTCCGCGTAGAGAGCCGTCGTTCTACACCGTCTGGTGACGTCATATCCGTTGACGGCGTAGACGTCGTTGCGCCAGGACTGTTCTATGCCCGCAACATCGCAGTTCATGGCTTGAAGGGATTTTCAACTGTAGATCTCGTCGAGCTCATGATGATGTACTGGTGCGACAGCCGGCAACGCCTTCTAGGAGTGAACCACCGGCGGTTACTCAAACGGAATCTCATTCGGAATCCAATCTCACCATCGCCAAGTCCAATGCCCCTGTCTCACATCACTTCAAAAAGACATCACTTCAAAAAAAAGTCGTCTCTGTCCACTAATTTTCTGTTGATAATTCATCAATGGATGACAATTTGAGTGGAGAAAACTTCAATTTGACTCCATCTCGGTCTATTGATCTCTCCAAATCAGGTTTCATCACAGATTGAATAGAATTCAGAACATATTCTTCATTTTGAGTTTGCCATCTCTATTTCATTTTCATCACAGCTAATCCATATTCATCCTCTATTCATTGTGTTACTTCTCAGATTGAATATCCAAATTCATTTTCATTTTCACTTTTATTCTCATGATTGGAATGTTTAGTTTCAATCATTTTCTTTCACTTCTGTAATTCAGAAGTTTCATCATTGTTCAATTTCACTCAGTCGGTTTGATTGAGTTTCACTCGTATCGCTTTGATCGAGTTTCACTTTCATCATCATCCGGTTTTTGGTTGATTTCATCAATTGGTTTTGTTAATTGTTTTCAATTCATCCTTTGATGTTTTCGTGTGAATTCATCAATTGATTTGTCATCTCATCTTCATCATCGGTTGTGTATGGTTCACTTTTCTGTTACTTTTCTGTTCATTCTGGAGAACCATGGCAGCCATCACTAGCACATCGCTGCTTTCTATCACCTCTTGTCTTCAAATTTTATCTCTGGACATGGGAATGATGTTAAAAGCATTTCTTTTCCCATTCAACAGAGAGTTGTCTCTCAGCTTCAGAATTAAGGGATTTCTTGAGTTGCCAAGCCTGAAATTATGGAGAAAATTCTCTCCACTGTTATATAGCTTGCAAACCTCAAAGTCGTAGTCAATGAAGAATTGATTTGCAATATCAAACGGATCAGGTTTCTATAAGGTTGCCTCTCAATGTCTAGGGATTGCCTACAGATGTCCTATATTGCCTCATTGTCCAAAAATACATCTGGGTGTTCTAAGAGGGAATGTATGGAAAAGACACTTTTGTATGGCTCAACAAAAGCAGTTGATACCTAAGGAGATGAATATATGGCAAGTCCAAGTTTTTGATTTCTTTCATAATCTACTGACAGACGTTCCAGAAGCAAGGATCTTAAACGAGAAGCTTGTTGTTTATGCCTCTTCCATGGTCAATGGGTTTTCATCTTTATACACATTGAAGCCAACACAGATTTGATTCAGTTGCAAGTTGAAGTTGTTCCCACCTTCAACTTGAGGGGGGGTGTTGGTGTAAACCACCTTTTAGCATTTGTTCACTTGATTAGTTACATAGTTTGTTAGTTAGTTAGGAAGATATTTTTGTTAGTTAGTTAGGAAGATATTTTTGGTTGTTACTTGTTTTTCATTTTCTATATATATAGGAGTTAATCATGTAATACAAAATTTGAGCTAGTTAATACACTTTATTCCAACACTCAGATTAAACAACCTAGGTACAATTACTCAGCAAATAATATCAAATAGATCTTCAATGAGTTTCAATGATGAACACGGTTTAGACAAATCTGTGAAACTGATTTGGGAATCAAAATTAAGCTTCAAAAATGAACAATTAACCTTTTCACAACCAGATTCTCATCAATTAAGGTGCAAAAGTCAAGGTTAAAGTCGTATACCTTCAAAACCGAAACTATGGAGGTTCGAGTGGCAGACCTCTGGGCGTGTGATGCACACCGCACGAAACTCTACTCACTCTCTCTCTATTTCCGGCGTGCGTGTAATGAGACTTGCTGGGAGTCGCCGGCGATGGTCGGTTTTGTCACCGGGGACCCCTTCTGGGTGTCTGCGTTTCTCGATTCATCTCTCTCGCTTAAAGGATACGGGAATGAAATGGGAAATAATCCTCAAAAGGCGGTCAGGGAGTGTTTTATTAACATGGGGCCAATTTTTAAGCTTGGACTCCTATTAACCTATTTAACCCAATTCTGACCCAAAACTCTCCCTTGTGTATATTTTATCATTTTTATGCACAAAAGGGTCTTTTCAAGTATAAAAAGTATTTTTGGTCTAAAAAACAAGATTTGGGTACTTTTTTTAATAAAAAAAAATATTTCTGTGTAAAAGTATTTAAGAACAGTTTTTTTAAAGTATAAAAAATCCAACTTCTTGAGTTCTAACACTACATCTAGGGTCAGAACAAGATCGGACTTTAAGAAGTCTCGTGATGGTGTTCTTTTTACACTGAAATGATTGTTTCTTTTTGGAATTTTAGGGGAGTCAAGAAGAGGTGTGAAAGACTCAACCCTACTTAAAAAGCATCATTCCATTGATTTCTTCTTTACTATTGAGCCCATGATCAATTTCAAAAAAGGCCACAGTTTAGCTTTTAAACTTGCCTTCAATGGTTTTAGCTCTGCCATAGAAAATAAAATCTGGTTTTTCTGGGATTCATCTAAATACTCACTATTGGATAAAGTGGAGTGCAGTCAAGTTTCCCACTTCACTATGCAAAACAAGATTGATAACACTATTTTTGTTCTTAGTAGTTGTGTATGGCGCTCACTCCCTTTGGATCCGGAAAGCTCTCTGGGAGGAAATAGTCACCTTTCACTCTCATAACTCTCATTCGAGGTGTCTTGGGG